ATATTTTATTGATTTTTTACAGAGAGAGAGAGGAATAGTTAGAATCATCGATGAGAGAGAAGCATCGATCACCTGTCTCCTGCACACTCCCTACTGGGGATGTGCCCACAACCAAGGTACATGCCCTTGACAGGAATCGAACCTGGGACCCTTCAGTCCCCAGGCTGACGCTCTATCCAGTGAGCCAAACCAGCCAAGGCATTATTTATATTTTTTAGCATGATGGCAAAGTTAGCCATAAACTATTATGAAATCTGTGTTAAACAAAAATAAAATTCCACGACTAAAGTCTGCTTTAAAAGAAAAGGTTAATATTGAGTCATATGCTATCCAGAAGGTTCTGGGGCATGAAGTCTAAACAGCAGCAGCATGGCCAGATGGAAAAGACAGCATGCCCTTTGACCTGGAGTTGCAGGCTCTTTCATATCTTGTTTTGGAAAGGAACGATGTAAGTTGTTTTGAAAGAATTTACATTAGCTACAGATAAGGTGGACAGGAAAAGGTGAAGCAGAGGCAGCTTTACGGTGAGTGCAGTTTGTAAAGGAGAAATATTTACTATTGACTGGCTACAGGCCACAGTCCTGAAAGTTCATGCATATGCAGGATGCTATGGCATCTAGTGGTCAGTTAATAGATGCCAGAAGATTGATTCAAAGCTCCCACATATATTCAGGAATGTGAGCAATTCTTGTTAGTTGCCCCACAGCTATTAACTGCTTAACTATTCCTGTTCCTTTCTTACTCTCCAGCTGCTGTAATTTAGAACATCTCAGAATTTTTCTTTGGTCATTCCGTTTATAATGTGGGATTTTAAAAAAAGAATGTGGAATAAAGTGATCCAAATACCTATTTATAAGGCAGAGATGATACACTAGGAGTTTGATTTCACACATAAAGGCAATTAGCTTTGTTGAGCCAGTAGGTTTACTACTTTTCGGGATTACTGTTTCACAACAGCAAGTTGTATCCAGGTCATCTGGTTGTAAGTAGAAAGTGAATCATAACCCCTGTGACAGTCAATCGCAGGACAGTTTGTGTGCCTTTTCACCTGGCCTGTTTGTGTGTCTGTGTGTTAGGGCAGATTGCCCTGAACAGGATCCCGGGGCTTTGAGCTGAGAACTTCATCAGGTTCCTGCTAGGGTCTAATTAATCATCAAATCAGCTCATTGCCATGCTGATCCAGTAATGCAAGTCCCTAAAGTCATTAGGGCAGCAGAGAGAAGGAAATGGCCTAATCTCCCAGGATTAGAGGGGAGAAGTTCCTAAAATCTAATGAGTTCCTGCTAAAGTGGGGCATGCTCCAGG